CGCTCTAGCTCCTGCTCCGGCTCTAGCTCCAGCTCTCGCTCTAGTTGTAACTTTCTCCCGAGCTCTAGCTCCAGCTCCTGCTCCAGCTCTATATAGTTGTAGCTCTCTCGAGCTCTCGCCCACCTCTCCAGCTCCAGCGCTAGTTGTAGCTCTCTCCCGAGGTCTAGCTCTAGCTCTAGTTGTAGCTCTGTCCCGAGCTCTAGTTCAAGCTCGAGCTCTAGTTGTAGCTCTCTCCCGAGGTCTAGCTCTAGCTGTCTCCCGAGCTCTAGCTCTAGTTGTAGCTCTTTCCCTGGCTCTGGCTCTAGCCCCAGCTGTAGCTCTAGGTGTAGCCCTCTCCCGAGCTCTAGCTCCAGCTCTAGCTCTAGTTGTAGTTCTTTCCCAAGCTCCAGCTCTAGCTCCAGCTGTAGCTCTCTCCCGAGCTCTAGCTCCAGCTCCTGCTCCAGCTCTAGCTCTAGCTCTAGTTGTAGCTCTCTCCTCTCTCCTTGGCTCTAAGCTCTAGCTCTAGTTGTAGCTCTTTCCTTGGCTCTGACTAGCTCCAGCTTTAGCTCCAGCTGTAGCTCTAGTTGCAGCTCTCTCCCTAGCTCTAACTCTAGCTCTAATTAATTCCAGCTCCTGCTCCAGCTCTACTTGTAGCTCTCTCCCCAGCTCTAGCTCCAGCTCCAACTCTACTCGTAGCTCTCGCTCTAGCTGTAGCTCTAGTTCCAGCTCCTGCCCCAGCCCCAGCTTTAGTTGTAGCTTTCTCCTTAGCTCCAGCTCCTGCTCCAGCTCTAGCTTCAGCTCCAGGCTTTAGCTCTAGTTGTAGCTCTTTCGCCAGCTCCAGTTGGGTTTGTCTAAAAACCCCGCGTGGTTGATTTATGTAAGCACTTGCCCGTGGTGTTCGCGATGATGCTTTGGACTTGTAAAACGATAAGGAGGAACAAAAACGATAACGTCATTTTGCACAACAAGCGAGCACAATCCAGCAAGGAGCCGAAACGAGGCATTTCCAGTACTAAAGTTGTACTACAAGCCAGCACAATCCAGCCAGGAGCCGAAACGAGGCATTTCCAGTACTAAAGTTGTACTACAAGCGAGCACAATCCAGCCAGGAGCCGAACGAGGCATTTCCAGTACTAAAGTTGTACTACAAGCGAGCACAATCCAGCCAGGAGCCGAAACGAGGCATTTCCAGTACTAAAGTTGTACTACAAGAGAGCACAATCCAGCCAGGAGCCGAAACGAGGCATTTCCAGTACTAAAGTCATTTCCAGTACTAGAATTTCCAGTAAAGTTGTATACAAGCGAGCAGAGCCGAACGCATCCGGTAGTCCAAGCGAGCACAATCCAGAAGGAGCCGAAACGAGGCATTTCCAGTACTAAAGTTGTACTACAAGCGAGCACAATCCAGCCAGGAGCCGAAACGAGGCATTTCCAGTACTTAAGTTGTGCTACAAGCGAGCACAATCCAGCCAGGAGCCGAAACGAGGCATTTCCGGTACTAAAGTTGTACTACAAGCGAGCACAATCCAGCCAGGAGCCGCAACGAGGCATTTCCAGAACTAAAGTTGTACTAAAAGCGAGCACAATCCAGCCAAGAGCCGAAACGAGGCATTTCCGGTACTAAAGTTGTGCTACAAGCGAGCACAATCCAGCCAGGAGCCGAAACGAGGCATTTCCAGTACTAAAGTTGTACTACAACCAAGCACAATCCAGCCAGGAACCGAAACGAGGCATTTCCAGTACTAAAGTTGTACTACAAGCGAGCACAATCCAGCCAGGAGCCGAAACGAGGCATTTCCAGTACTAAAGTTGTACTACAAGCGAGCACAATCCAGCCAGGAGCCGAAACGAGGCATTTCCAGTACTAAAGTTGTGCTACAAGCGAGCACAATCCAGCCAGGAGCCGAAACGAGGCATTTCCGGTACTAAAGTTGTACTACAAGCGAGCACAATCCAGCCAGGAGCCGAAACGAGGCATTTCCAGTACTAAAGTTGTGCTACAAGCGAGCACAATCCAGCCAGGAGCCGAAACGAGGCATTTCCGGTACTAAAGTTGTACTACAAGCGAGCACAATCCAGCCAGGAGCCGCAACGAGGCATTTCCAGAACTAAAGTTGTACTACAAGCGAGCACAATCCAGCCAGGAGCCGCAACGAGGCATTTCCAGTACTAAAGTTGTACTACAAGCGAGCACAATCCAGCCAGGAGCCGAAACGAGGCATTGAGAGGAGAGGATTTTAGTCGCGGGAGACTCTTCACAAGAGCAGGACCCCTTTAGCGCGCGCAGGAGAGGATTTTAGTCGCGGAAGACTCTTCGTAAGAGCAGGACCCCTTTAGCGCGCGCATGATCCAACAAGAGCCCTCCAAGAGCCTCCGAGAGCCTTCCGAGGAGAGGATTTTAGTCGCGGAAGACTCTTGGTAAGAGCAGGACCCCTTTAGCGCGCGCCTGATCCCACAAGAGCCTTCCAAGAGCCTGCGAGAGCCTTCGGAGGAGAGGATTTTCGTCGCGGAAGACTCTCCGTAAGAGCAGGACCCCTTTAGCGCGCGCCTGATCCCACAAGAGCCCTCCAAGAGCCTCCGAGAGCCCTCGGAGGAGAGGATTTTAGTCGCGGAAGATTCTTCGTAAGTGCAGGACCCCTTTAGCGCGCGCATGATCCGACAAGAGCCCTCCAAGAGCTTCCGAGAGCCCTCCGAGGAGAGGATTTTAGTCGCGGAAGACTCTTCGTAAGAGCAGGACCCCTTTAGCGCGCGCCTGATCCCACAAGAGCCCTCCAAGAGCCTCCGAGAGCCCTCGGAGGAGAGGATTTTAGTCGCGGAAGACTCTTCCCGAGAGCAGGACCCCTTTAGCGCGCGCATGATCCCACAAGAGCCCTCCAAGAGCCTCCGAGAGCCCTCCGAGGAGAGGATTTTAGTCGCGGAAGACTCTTCGTAAGAGCAGGACCCCTTTAGCGCGCGCCTGATCCCACAAGAGCCCTCCAAGAGCCTCCGAGAGCCCTCCGAGGAGAGGATTTTAGTCGCGGAAGACTCTTCGTAAGAGCAGGACCCCTTTAGCGCGCGCCTGATCCCACAAGAGCCCTCCAAGAGCCTCCGAGAGCCCTCCGAGGAGAGGATTTTAGTCGCGGAAGACTCTCCGTAAGAGCAGGACCCCTTTAGCGCGCGCCTGATCCCACAAGAGCCCTCCAAGAGCCTCCGAGAGCCTTCCGAGGAGAGGATTTTAGTTGCGGAAGACTCTTCCTAAGTGCAGGACCCCTTTAGCGCGCGCATGATCCAACAAGAGCCCTCCAAGAGCCTCCGAGAGCCCTCGGAGGAGCCCTCCAAGAGTCGCGGGAGACTCTTCCTAAGTGCAGGACCCCTTTAGCGCGCGCCTGATCCCACAAGAGCCCTGCAAGAGCCTCCGAGAGCCCTCAGAGGAGAGAATTTCAGTCGCGGGAGACTCTTCCTGTGTGTGTGTGTTGTGTTGTGTGTGTGTTGTGTTGTGGGTGTTGTGTTGTGTGTGTTGTGTTGTGTGTGTGTGTGTGTTGTGTGTGTGTGTGTGTGTGTGTGTGTGTCTGTGTGTGTGTGTGCGTGTGTGTTGTGTTGTGTGTGTGTGTTGTGTTGTGTGTGTGGTGGTGTGTTGTGAGTGTTGTGTGTGTTGTGCGTGCGGGGGGGGGGGGGAGGAGCGCACGCGGGGGCCGGGGCGGTGCAGCGCAAAAATAAAAACCCCACAGTGATGTGGGGAAGAAAGAAGGCAAAAGTGGAATTTGATGAATGTGTGACAAATGATCACGCGCAATGACAGGTTGATGGCCGAATGTTGGATGTTGTTTAAATTGATGTTTTCCGACGTGTTACGTGTTGTTGCATGTTGATCGAGTTCATTTTCAGGACTTTTTGTCCAGGGCTAAGTTTTTCAGCTTTTCAAAAGGGGTGTTGGAGAGTGTCTTTCACGGATACAGTGGAACTGGAGACGAAATTTGGTCAGGTGAATAAGTTTGATCGTCCAGAGTTGCGAATTTTGGCAAAAATTGTGTTTCAGCGGATTAAATTCGAGGTCGGAATTGCTGAGGTCCCAAAGCAAATAGGGCGGACAAATTCGAAAGCATGCAAGATTTGGAGCCAGCAGAAATCTTGAAACGCATTTGCGCAGAACACCAGGTGGAGAAACATTGTTGACGACGATGGAGTGTTTTTCCAGACACCGATCTTCTTCCAAGAGGCTTGAAGTGTTCATGGCTGTCGGCACAGTGCGATGCTGACGATTTTTGATTCGATGATGCAATGATGAATGTGCGCAGTGTCGGACGCTCCGAAAATTGCCTTGCAGATTGGTTGGCTCCTGTTTGTGTGACACTGGCAGATTTGGGTCGCCTCGCTTGTAGCTGTCAGGGTAAAAATTGGAAGCTGTCAAGATGTTTTGACGAGAGCATGCAAATTGACACAGTGTTCGATGGTTGTCATCATGCACCTATGACGAGTTTGTATGAGTCTTCCATGTTTCAAGCACTTTGAAGAATTATTTGTTTCCCGAGCCGAGCACCGGGATTGGAGCTGGATTGCCACGACTAGAGCTGAAACTGTGTGGTTGAGCTTTGAATTTTGCATGTTTGTCGTCGTATCTTCGCAAAGCTGTAATCCTCAATGTCGCCAATGAAAACACACCAATACAGCAACATAGTGGTGGAACAATCGCGGTAAGCGTAGCGCTGTTGCAAGTAGTCAAGCTAATCAACCTTGTGTGGAGGGTTTGTAGTTGCCTGCTCCCGCATAGAACACTGCATACAGTGTGCACACTTGTTTTTGGCGCGTTTTTGTGCTTGGCAGCCCGAGCCACGCATCCAGGCAGGTCGTTCTCATGAATGGACGAAGGTTAAAGTTTACCAGAAAGAGCAAATGCACTCACGGCAAAGGAGGCAAAAGGATTGCCCAGCTTCAATACTGTAGCTCTTTGACCGCACTGGCCAACATTCGTATGCCGACATTCATTCCCACTGCCATGTTGTTGAACGAAAAGCGCACATGCATACGAACAATTTCATCAAGCCATGGCGATTCCGGATGAGCCTGATAGTGGCTCATTCATTTTGCAGGGGCATGGCAAGTCGTCTGCTCAGTGCTTGTTTCAACATTTATGCAGGGTAAGCTTGCGAACAATGTGGACGTGGTGACCAGGTTGGGGCCAATAGTGGGAGCTTCCGATGTGAGAATCGCCATGAGCTGAGACAGTAGAACACTTGGTCGTGTTGACGCCGCTGTTTAGCAGGGATTCTGCTGGCAATTATCTGTGCTGCTCCGGCATCGTCGGGGTTGAGCTCCGATGCTAAGGGAGTCGTCTCCACACTTCGGGATGTCCAGGCCAAGTGACATGCAAGTTGCGTTTCGCTGCAACTGGGTTTGGCGAACAGCACATGCCGAAGGTTGCCTCGCGGGTATGCTCAATGGTGTTGTGGGTCTCACAGTTCATGCCATGCACGATTGGTTCCATTGACAGGATCAGCTTCTGCACTGGTTGGAATGGCAACAAGCTTACTCCCACTATTCTGTCGTTGTATCCCGTCGGCTGCAGGATCACATTGTTGTGCTCAGGTTCAGGCTGATTGGCTTTGCGCACATGTTTTTGTATTTTGACGATCCCGAGCACGATGAGGCTCTGGGAAAGTCTATTACATATAGGATTCGCTTCCTTATGTTGCGAAGGCAGCGATTCAGGACTGCACGGCAACATATTCCGGGGACTTCCTGAGCTGTGCCCGGTGACTCGGCTGTGCAACCCGCAGTGTGTTCCGTCGCTGTTCGCATCGGCCTTGCCTGCATGCACACAGGAATGGCCAGCAACTGCAAGAAGAGTGGCAGAACCTCAGGATGCCCGCCGGTGACACTGCATCCTTCATGTTGTGCCGAACCTGCTTGAGCAAGTTGAATGATGCACAAAGGATTTACGGTGCACCTCGTGCCTCTCCGTTGCTTTTGGGTTCAAGGAGTGCAGCACTCTTCAACAGAGTCGCTGCAAAGGGTGCTTTGTTTCGGGGACAGTACTCGAAACTCTTTCAGCTGTTGCAGTGGCGCTGGACTCAAGACTGCAATGCCCAAAGAAGCCGAGCTTGTTGCACTCGGTGTCTGAGGCCTTTGCCACGCCTACTTTGTTGCAACCATGGGAGGCTGTCATGTTTGCGTTGCCGGTTCTGGTTCGAGAAGAAAGTTAAATTAACAGTTAGCACGAATCGCCAAGCCCTTTACGTTGTTGTGTTCGTGGAGTGTGAGGTGCAAGCTCCTACATTGCGATGCTCTGCATCGCGGGTTTCCTGGGTGCCACATGGACAGCATCGAAAGTGTCCAGGCGATGCCCTCAATGCTGCTGGTGTGGAGAGAGATCCATTAAGCAAAGAACAGCTTCAGGTTGCTCGGTGTCTCTGACATCGTTCTGGTAATCACCACCGGCGTGATCTTGGGACCAGAGCGACCTTGCCTGGTTTGATGAGTGCAAGTGAACCTGTATCGCAGCATGAGTGTGCCGATGGCAAAGCACTGCACTTGCCCTTGTCAGTATCCTGGGCCTTGTCGCCAAAGAGTACTCCGTGTGCTCCGAAGCTAGGCCAGTGAGCTTCAGACTCGGAAGAACTGGTGCAGGGTCGTTGCTTCCAGGCATGCAGACTGCAGCACCATCGAGGACGTGACATACAAGGCTTTCGAGTTCGTCCTGTTCAAGCTGCTGATCTCGTTTTTTGCTCTCTCTTCTTTCTGTGCTTGCGCTCAGATGGCGAACAACATGCCACTCGGACAGGCCCGCGAAATGCATGCAGAATTGTGCTTGGCGTAAATCCTCGAAAGGCCCTGGGAAGGATCCAAAACATGGATGCTTGCGATCCCGCAGAGTGCGCCACCATCACATCGCTTGTCCTTTTCGTGAGACCCTACCCATCCTGCCAGTTACCACCACGATGATCACGGAAGTATCGGTGACGGACACGGCCACAAGCTCAGGGTTGCAGTCCATTTTTGGTTTCCTAGGGCTAGGCGGACTCACAGAACATGAGGACATGGAGAGGATGCTTCCCATGGCACAATGCCGGGTGCAACCAACGAAACCCATGGTGGAGAACATGCAGCAGATGGCGGTCACGCAGCAGATGGTCCTGCGCACGAGCACTCTGCAGAAAACCACTCTGCAGGGGGCGGCCACTCCACAGCGGGCGATCACTCCACATCAGGTGAGCACTCGACACACGGCGATCACTCTGATCACTCCACGAGTGGTGCGCACTCAGAAGGTCACAGCAGCCCAGCTGACCATAGCGGCGGGGAGCATGGTGCAGCTGCAGATCATGACGCCCACCAGGCACCTTCTGATTTGCGGTGTAAGTCGTGAAGAAGCGATTCGTTGAACCATGTTGCTGCATGCCGCAGATCGCACTCTCTTGTCTCAGCATATCGTCGAGTATGTAGCAATGTAGTTGCATTCCGGAATGGATTGCTTTTGTGTGCTTTCTGCACCTTGGACAGGTCTCACACGGCTCAGGGTGCCTCAGCTGAAGTTTCGGTCGTGCTGCCTGCAAGTTCGCATCGCATCGCATCGCAACTAAAACCTGTGGAGGCACCGGCGCTTGTCTGGTGGTGGCAGTTACACGTCTTACGAGGCGGTGTTGTTTGACGTAGACATGGTCTAGTCCTGGTCGCCCACCGGTGTTTTTCGTGCTGATTGAGCTAGCAACTTGTCAACAGATATCAACCTCGGCAGCTTGCAGGAATGCCTTGTGAAAACATGCGACGCGGATGCCTTGCTCTTGGCATTGACGTGGAAGAATTTTAATTGCCCACATGTTGGCCAACCAAGATCTCGCATGAGTGCCAGCTGACCCCTGACGTGTTCACATTGATCGGGCACGCAGGCCGTCTTTGTAGAAGCTGTGCCAGAGCTAGAACTGTTCTGCAGGGAGTCTTGCAAAGACAGCGAATGAGTGAAAGTGCACAGAGGCGGTTGAGCCTTGACGGGTTTTTGCAAGCAGCCAAAGCAACTCTGTGCTGTAAAAAGTCGCACGTGCTGCTCCAATCTTTGGCTCCACGGGCGAAAGGTGTGGCATTGATGATCTTTGAGAGTGGAATGCATTTCGATTTCGAGAAGGCGAAGGCTCGGTAACAGTTAACACCCCTGACGTCTCATCTTTCTTGCAGTTGCTGTGCATTCCCTTGGCGGGGGCTCATGGTGAGCATGAGGTCGTCGGCCCCAAGGCATGTGTTGTTGCAGCCTGCATCCAAGATGTTTCCATGCAAGTTGGTGTAGCATGTATTGCTGCTTGGGAGATCTTTGAAGCAGGAAATCTTGAGCTTGTAAGGCGGATGCACTTTGTGTCTGAGGTCATCGGAACAGTTCTGCCACTTGTCTCTGGTGCTGCTTTGACTATGCTTTATGGCAAACCGTTTCTGTCTCAGTGGGGTCGCCATCCGAATCCATCCGATCAGCTCTCCTGCAGAAAACTCAGGGTTCTGCATGTCAGGTTCTTCCCACATGGCATCTCAGCTGGAACGGCACTTGCGCCAACGAGTCCGGGCCAGAGGGAGTTTCGCAAGCACGGCAGTGTCGATCGGGTCTTGGCAAGGTGTCGGCATTGCTCTCCGACTACTTGGGGAAGCGGGCGTCTTGCAAGAGAACTTCGGGCAGGCCTGCGAGCTTGGTTTTAGAGAGAAGAGGGGCGCATACAGGCGGGGCACTCAACGTCAAGTTCAGATCAAGCCTGTAGTATCTTTCTATCTTTGCTGAGCATCGACAGTCACAAGAGCACATGCCCAGCATCTGCACAGTTCCGTATCTATCTGGCTATTGGACATGAAGGCGATGTGCAAAACTTAAAGTGGCAGGACCAGCAACTGTCCAGGTGCAGGTCCTAGGGGAGCAGTGCGGACGTGAGTGGCGTGGGGGTTTTCACTGAGAAGGCAGGCACATCGAAGACAGTGAACAAAAAAAACAGGCACACAAAGGCGTGCAGGAAAGTCTCATGGGCCAAGGGTGCGACACGCGCCCTGGAAAGCAAGGTGTGCAATGGGCGTACTTGTTGAGATTGTTCAAGGGGGCATGCAAGGATGAACGCTTGAAGACCTCCGCAGCAGAGTAGGAGGCCCATTTCAGGCCACTGAGGCACATGCAGTGCTTCGCCAACACTTCGATGGGCTAGGTCTGCCTCGAGGAGAAAGATGTTTACCATGTCCTGCCGCAACGGGAAATTCCTGCCATGTGGTTGTTATTGGACCACACCTGAGGCGCACATAAGGAGGACCCCGTTGTTGTGGTGCTTTCATTCTAGCGAGCCTGTGCCTCTCTTTGTGCTTCTCCGCGTGAGCACAAGCGCAGGCATTGTAACGAGTATGTAAGGTTCTGGGACACTGTGATGACATGATATGTGTAAGCTTCACTTGTGCACCAAGTTCATGGAGCACCTAGAACAGTGCTCTTCATGCAATGGCAAGGATCACCGGCTTGCTGAGTCAGGAGGAAAGCATCCAACCAGCAAAGACATGAAAGAATTAATTTCTTATTTGCCGGTATTGGGGATGCCGCGGTTCTTCCAAAGGCAGGTTGAAAAGCCTGAGTTTCCGCACGTGTTTGTCTGCGCGGCAGTGCAGGGAAGTGTTGAAACGGGAACCATGGTATTATGAAATGATCCTTTACCGTCACTGCTGGACCGAGGAACCTCAGCACGTGGGTCCAAGCCGACCCTGAGTTGTTTCGGACAAACGGAGGATTCGCGGTAGCTCTGTCAGACGGACAACCTCGAAAAAGAACGATATATACAGAACAATTTCGGAGCACAAACAAGAAGTACGGCATCAGCAAAGGAAAGCAAAGGTGATGCGAATCTGCCACCGGCGGGTTAACAGCAAGCTGGTTCACTTTCACGAATCTACATGTAGAGCTAGTAGCTTCTGCTGCTGGCAGTAAGTTGATGCTGTCGGAATGCTTTTTCTTTCTCACGTGGCGGCTGTTAGCCTCGCGGCTTTTCGGGTTTGTTGCACCATGCGTCAATGAAGCCGGAAGAGAGGCGATCATCACAGCAGCCTTTGTGGATGACATTCTGTCCCTGGCATCAGCCCTAGCCCGGGCGTGGTTAACTGATGAAAGAAACATCCTTCGCCCAGGTTCTCTTCAACGTTCTCTTTTCGCTCGGGGGCGAGTGTGGGTCTTAGCGCTCTTTGATGTATCAGTTGGGCCGCCGAACTTGACCCTCACTTGCCCTATGCCGTGTACCCGTGACACCGAAAAACTTCCGGGAAAAGTTGCTTGTGCAAGAATCAGAAGTGTCAAGGGTTCGTCCAAGTAATTTCAGTCATCATGCATCGAAGTGACGAAAGACCTGTTAGGTTCGACGTCATGGCTGTGGTAGTCAATCCTTGCATTGGCGTGGCGGTCATGCTCTTCGCAATGGTGCGCCCGGCGACACGATGTGGAACCGTGTTGCTTTGAGCCGTTCACTTGATCTTGGATTCGGATGCCAGTACCTTGCCATGAAGTTTTGGCCGAAGTTCATCAACGAGGTGGGTCCTTGTTCCGTGCACCTCTGCCATCCTCTGCCCGTTTGTCAAGCGCAAAACCACTGCCAGTGGCTGCTTCCGAAAGTGCCGGTCAAGGAGGGTGCCAAGGCACGCATTCTGTTTTATGATTCGGCATGGCAGGAGTTATGAATCTTGCACTGGCCAGGTACCTCAAACTGATGAGGCCAGGTTTCCGAAATTGATCGCTGTCGTCTCACTCGAGAAGCCCGTTTGGGAGGTGCTCTTTCTGTTGATGATTTTCCTTCTAGCAGGTGCCCCAGGTCACGAAATTCTCGTGAGCGAGCAGCTCTTGCACTCAATAGAACATGGGTACATGCAAGCTTGCTGAGATTGGATATGGTACCATCACCTACTTCCTGGGAACACATTTGTCGCTCAGCAATTTAATCTTGGTTGGTTGCATGATGGGGGCACTTGTTGAACCTTGATCGTTGTGCCAGGTGGGGCTGCTTCATCGCAGGCATGTCCTTTGCATGCCTCAACCCCCCGCATCATGCTCACCATGTGCCTGCCTCGTTAGCTTGAATGCGGCAGAGTTTCTCGGTTAGAGCCGTCGCAAAAGACGTCTGGTGCTTGAGGTTTGGGTCAAGCAGACAAAGCGAGTGACATCCTGGATGATCAGTGCTGTTCCCAGTTGCGCCTCTGCATGGCAGGGTTGCACTGCCTGTAAGCCTTCCGGAACTGTGCCATGCTGCGTCGATGTTAGGAATCTTTTTTGCATGCACCGTCGCCTTCTCCATCCCGATTTCGAAGCTCCTGTCAGTGGAAGTCATCCTGGCGTGCTTTTGCCTTCGAGACTTCGTTCTGCGGAAGGTATCCCACCAGTGTTTGGTGCCTGGCGCAGGCGATCTGGAAAGGTGCCATCATGGGCATCGGCCCTTGCATTATCACGAAGGTCTGCTGCGCGCCCTTCATGGGCGAGGCCTGTCGCTGGCGAAAGTGTCTGGGTATGGGTCGGGCACTGCAATGCAGCTCTACAGGCGCGATGGGTCATTGGCTGGGCCATGGTCGGTCAGGGCCATGGATGTACAAGGATCCCTCATGTGGAAATGTTCCGAGAAGTCGTCAGAGCTGTGGGTTTGACTGGATTCCTGAGTAGAGCACTTGTGTTCTGAGGTCGAGCCGAGTTCGCATACCTGATTGCACAAATGGCCGCAGCTGCCAACATGCTGGACAAGGTGTGCCGGATCTACCCATATGTTGCTGAGTGGGTCTATCCGACACTGGTCCGGTGGTCAGGACATGTTCTCCATCGTCATCTGGGCTCTGCTATGGGCAACCATTTTCGCTCCGCGAAGACCTCGTCCACCAGAAAGGATCTCATCAATGCTCTGAAGCCGGGGCTCAGGTTCATTTTCCGCTACGTGTTGAATCGCTATGTTCGAGCTCAAGGCACCGAAGCCAGCATGACTGACTTCCTTGTGTTCAGGAGTTTAGGGCGTGTCTAAGTGCAGGTTTGGGAGACAGAGAACCAAATCCCGGATATGGGGAGGATGAGGCCGACAGTGAGTGCTTGAGCTGCGATGCTGCAGTTGGGATCGGTTTTGCAGCTGCAAAACTGTTTTTCCCGCTGTAACTGTCACCAGCAGGATGGGTATTCTATTTCGGAGCCACCTTCAGAGAAGGGAGACCTGGTCGGGAGTCCTGTTGAGTCGCAATGTAGCGTTGCAGCCTCAAGTTCAAGCTTTCTGAGGCATCCGACCAAGACTACAAGATGAAGGTTGAAGAGTTGAACAAGGCCAAGCGGAAGCTAAAGCAAGATGTCCTATGGTTCCGATAAAGCATTCTTCACAGGTAGCTCCTGCAGAGGCTTGGATTGGTGCTTGTCCTGAATCTGTTTAGCTTGCACATGTGTTGCTGACAGGCCTCGGCGTTTCGGACTCAGCTCGACCAGAGCCCTTCACAGATGGGATGAGTTCCTGATGTTTGTGAGGCCCTCGGGAGCACGAAGCTCCGAAGCTCGATGCTGTGGTGCCTTCAGCAAGAGCGTCAGCTCCTTCCCGTTTGGGTAGCTTGAAAGCTTGTCAGTGGCAAGTGCAAGTTCATGGCCAGGTGGTCTGAGGACGGCTCTTCTCGTCTCACAGAAAGGCAACGAGCCTTGTTAGGAGTGCTGCCAGTCTTCAATACTAGGTAGCTGGTGGCTACTCGAGGCTCAAGATTTTCTAGGAAACTCCACAACAGTCATTGTCTATTGAGTCTATCGAACTTTTCTCTGCTGCTTGGTTGAGAAGGAAGAGGAATTCACTCTTCTTGCAGTGAGGTTTCTCCGCCGTGTGATGCGCACACTTGGAAGATGGAAGCTCTTGTTGGACATATGGAACATGAAATGACAAACCTTGTCTTAGATATCTGGTGCGCACCAACTCAAGGCAATGCCTCGTCTTGCCGGGTGCATTCGCACTCAGCGCGGTGCTTGTTTGTGGGTCACGATTGGTGCCTTTGTGGAACTTTGAGGGCCCAGCCAGTCTTCTAGATGTGGACAAAGACTCCCTGCTGTTTGCCGTTTTTACGCAGCAGCATGCCTCCCCTTCCCTTACTGGGCACGGACATTGGAGGATCCTCTGCTTCTTCCGGGGAGTGTCTGCGCCTCGTACTTCGGCATTTTTACAGCCGGAAAAGCCGGCCCTCAACTGCCTTGTCCTAGAGTTTGCTGGACCCTCACTGGCACGCTGCAACGTGCTGGTGTGTCACGCCAGTCCCGAAGGGATGGCTGAGACCTGCCCAACCGGGCGAGAGCTTCACGTTACGTCAGCTCAAAGTCTCTTTCGCTTCGGCCTCTGCCCTCCCATGTCTGCCACAGCGGCACAGCACTTCAAACATGGATGGACATGCCGTTGAGGACTTGGCCAAAGTTCTCAAAGTACACGGACGACCGAATGTGCAGGCCGTCATCTGAACGAACCGGGTGGCCAGTGGTCTTGCGCACTTTCAGGCAGCTGCTGAACATTGCCCATGCGCTGAAGCGCACTGCTCGTGGCTCCGGGGGAGAGGTTATTTGCACAGCGCATCAGAAAGTTGTCGCTTTTATGTCGAAGCTTGTCATTCGTTGTTCGTCTCTTCCATCGTTTCGCAAGGCTGTCGATTGGGTCATCCATCTGGACCACGATGAACTATTCCTTCCACCACCACAGGGTCTGCAGGCACTTCTTTTGCAATTTAGTTCACAGACCAGTCGTGGAGTGCTTGGCAAGCAGGCTCATTTCAGGCACCTCGATACAAGTGATTGCCGCTGGATCCTTTGTTGCTTGTTGAGCACCATAATTTTACCTAGTTGCTGGAACATGCTGGAACTTTTTCGAGGTCTTTGCCTATACCAGAACTTTGAAGCAGTGCCGCAGGACCTTTGTATTTAGAGAGCCTAGTAGAATCATTTCGAAGCATTTCGCTGCATCTTGGCAGGATCATACTTTGACTCCTTTCGTTGACGTGACCATGTTCAAGGCGGCGTCGTTGTGCGGAATTCTTGTCGGGCATGTCTGAGCTCCTGCAGGTGCCCAGCGGTCGCGTGAGTAAGACTCCGCTGCCAACTCAAACAAGCCAGTGCGAAATTGCAGTCGGAGTTTTCATCGGATTTTCAAAGCGGGACGCAAAAACCGATATATCCGATATGCTGAGGGCTGGCATGGCTGGCATGAATTTTTGGGCACAGCGAACGAAAGTAAGTGCCTCGAGTCAGAGCAGCTGGGAGGCGCCCATTATAACTGGAGCTTGTTTGTGGTGAGTGCGAGGCTCACAACTACTTTCTCTACTACGACAATGGCAAAAGTGCAGTCCGAGTAAGCCACAACCCCAGGGAAGCGGCTGTTGCTCCCCTGTTTATGTTGATGTCATTACCACCAGCAGTCCTCGTACAGCTGCTCACGCTCCTCCTCCACTACTACTGCACCACTACTACTACTACTACTACTACTACTACTACTACTACTACTACTACTGCTACTGCTACTGCTACTGCTACTGCTACTGCTACTGCTACTGCTACTGCTACTGCTACTGCTACGACTCCTACTACTCCTACTACTCCTACGACTCCTCCTACTACTACTCCTACTACTCCTACTACTCCTACTACTGCTACCACTTCTTCTCCTACTACTCCTGCTACTCCTACTACTGCTACTCCTGCTACGGCTGCTGCTCCTGCTGCTCCTACTACTCCTACTACTCCTACTACTCCTACTACTCCTACTACTTCTGCTACTCTTGCTATTCCTGCTACTCCTGCTACTCCTGCTACTCCTACCACTCCTAGTACTACTCCTACCACTCCTACTACTCCTACTACTCCTGCTACCCCTGCTATTCCTACTACTCCTGCTACTCCTACTCCTGACGTTTCGCCTCCGTCTGCAGTCGGAGTAGGAGTAGGGAGTGGGAGTGGGAGTGGGAGTGAGACGCGGAGTAGTACGGGGAGTAGTACGAGGAGTACGGGAGCAGTACGAGGAGCAGCAGGAGTTGTACTAGGATTAGTAGGAGGAGGAGTAGGAGTAGTAGGAGTAATAATAGGAGTAGTAGGAGTAGTAACGGTCTTAGACATCACATCCGAGCCGCAGCTGTCGAAAGATAGCCGGCTTCAGATGCCAACAACTGGCTAACGCATGAACGCCTCCGGACGTTTGCGATTCGAGAGAGTAGGAGTAGTAGGAGGACAAATCGGGGGGGAGGGCGGACACATAGGCCGAATCCTGATCATGTGTAGGGAATGCAGTGGCAACAAGAATCATGCTAGGTTACAAGGGGTTGCAGAAAGACGGTAGTCAAGGACTTCAGGAGCCGGAATTGGCAGGGACTCTGTGGGGCTGACACCAACAAGGCTGGTTTTGTGTTGAGAGGACCCAAGGATTCGGCTTGTGGGCGTTATAGTTCAACACACTAGTTCCTTGAAGACGTGTTTCAGGGATTGTCCACGGCTTGTGACCAACATTACAATGGCAGCGATTGGGATTCAAAATGCTCGTGATGTCCCGGCATTATCGTCTGCTCCGAAAGCAGCAACTGTTTTATGTACATGTTTTTGTTTGCCAGACTGTTGAGACCTTAAAGTGTGGTGTCGTCATATCTAATTATCGTGTAACTAGCCACTGTGATAGAGAATATGTTAATGCCACGCAGTAGACGATGTTGCGTGGTGTAGCATCATCCCAAACGATTAGGAAGTTTCTGCATCCTGAGGCCTATCGCAATGTGTCTTGCGTAGAAGTTTACAAAGCAAACGAATCCAAGGTCGCAAACCCGGCTCGGAGATCGCACCAACGTCTGACCGAAGCTTACGCAGAGTCGCAGAGCATTGCTTCCTTTTTTTGGGTTGCTGCGTCTTTTCTCTTGTTAGAGGTGCACCTCTTGTACCCGCCAGACGATCTCGAGGTTCGGATGCGAGCCTCTCATGACCAGTCGGTGCTGGATCTTTGCAGAAGCACTGCCCGTCACATTGTTCCAGGAGCTTATCGCAGGCAAGCATGCTTGGACCAATTTCGCCGCGCACGAACTTGCTGCGCCTTGTTGCAGAGTTGGTTTCGTTTGGCCAGCAGGAGTCTTGGCTGCTTGCCCCAGCTGAGGACATGAACCTGACGTGGCTGGTCGCCTGTCATGATGAGGTGGTGGCTGGGGCGAAGGCCGGGCAACTGGGCTGTGGTGTGAGCCCTGTGAGCCAGACGAGCCAAGGTGTTGCACTATCCTGCCACGCATTTCGAGCGGCTTTGGCGGAAGTGGGATGCCCAGATCATCCGTCTTTCTCGGCCATCTCTCCTGAAGCAGCGACAAGCGCAGGTATCACCATCTGGGCAACTTTCCGTCAGTTCGCTTTGGCGGAGATCTGGCTCTCCCCCAAGTTCGTGAGAGTGCCGGCATGGGTGCCGGTGTTGCATTCATGTTCGAATGTGCAGGTTGTGCCGCCTTCGTTCCATCTCGAGGCACTTGCGTGCTCTTTCGGGCCCTTGCCACATGGCTTCCTCAACAGCTCCTGGACTGTGTTGAGTGATGTCTTGGCTCAGTGTTGATGCATGGTGTCATCCGTGATCTCTTGCCTAGTCTATGCATCCGCATCCAACCTGAGAATCTAGGCAAAAATGTGAAGCAGGCGACTTTGGACGTTAAGAACTGATGCACATGACACCATGAGACCTCGTAGCTCCCGGTACTTGGAGGGCTACTGTGGAACACATCGATGCACTGATCTTCGTTGCCATGGCACAGGGCTGTTTGTTGGATCTCCATGAGAAGGAGCGATGAGTGGTATAACATCGCAGGGGCTGTTACAGGAGGCCACCAGTGTGCGCTTCGACTCCATGTCGCGTCGGAGGGCTATCTGGTGGTGCCTTGTTGAAATGGAACCATTTGGTGCTGTGATTGGACACAGAGGCCTAGCAATGCGTAACTCAGGGAGGTCTGCGGTATTTACGCTTTATACATACCAGGGGTTTTCGGCGGAAAAGGTGTTTGCTACGGGGTGGGTTATACAGCCAAATCCGGTAATTGACACATCTTGGTGTGTCAGAAGCCGGGAATAGACGGGCTGTAAAACCGCGCACGAGCAGCCCTTGGAACCAGTAACAGTCTGATAGGAGTCCGAAGTTTGTTGTACTCCATCTAGGCGGCCAGTTACCAGGCAATGAGCGAGTCCTGATTGTTTCTGCTGGGCTTTGAGTGCTACATTTACATGCCGTAAAGCACACTATACCTTGGGTGGGCCTGCACATTTTGAGTTGAGGGGGGTTCTGCTGCTTGATCTTATCAATGAAAAGTCATTGCTGGCAGGGGTGGGTCAAGAGGCTGGAGGACGAGACCCCAGAGCCTGTCACCTGAATCCCCAAGCCCCAATGTCGAATGCAATTTCCACACTCCGGATCCGAAGTCTGACAAGATGAGGCTGCAGGCGCCGCAGGATCATAGGACTTAAGGACAGCAGGGCGGCTGCAGGTTTGCAGGAGTCGCAAGCATGCGACGGGTTTAGCAAGAACCGCTGACATGGGGAAGATAAACCCCCTGTTTATGACTTCACACATTTGACATGTTTTCTCGGAAGGCTGGTTTGTCGCTGATTATCTGGCAGTGGGATATTTGGGGCCACGGGGTTCTTTTCTGAGCATGTTCTGACATGTGTGCCAGGTTCCTTGAAAACTCTCGGTGGGCTCCGGCATGGTTGCAGTGGATGTCACTGCTGTATCAGCTTTTAACGAGCGCGCTGATCGTGGCATTGCCTCTTGTCCAGCATTGCCAGCTTGTGTCCTTGGGTCATTGGCTTGAGTTCTAGGGGGAGGATCTGCTCGACCCCCGGAATGTTCCAAGCAACCGCAGAGGGTGCCCACAGCAAACACTTGCCAAAAGGAGCCGAGCATTGCAGAAACTCTCTCTCTCTCGCTCTCCGTAGTGTTGAGTTGTGCAGCTGCAGGGAAGCGGGCATTCACCCACAGCCAGCTTGACCCAGCAAAAGTACTTTCCCCGGCAGTGTCTGCCCACCGTGACAGTTATTGGCAAGACGATAGCAGCCAATGTTGTGGCTTTACTGTGAGGTTTGCAGTGGACTGCCGCACCATGAGCGAAGAGACTACAGAAGTCTACCACAACATGGAGATTTGCGCTACAATCATCTTCACAGTGGAGTTTGCTCTGTGTCTCGTCGAAGACTGTGGTCATGTCATGTCAATGTGGCATGCGCAGCCATCATGCTGGCAGCTCTCACTGTCTCCTGCCAGGCGCTTCTACAGCTGCATAGAGTCGGTACAAGATGCTCAACAGCTCAGCGTGTCAGCACGTTGGAGAAGGCGGATATGCTTGATGACAAGTGCAGCCTGTCTTATCGACATGATCTCCTTGGTTTCTCTATACTTGGACGTCTGCATCACATCCAACATATTCCGAGGGGTGGTGTCAATTCGACTGCTCCGACTTTTCACTCTCTTCCGATTGGAGAGGAAGCACAAATTCTTGTCGCCAATTGTGACGGTGATTTCTAACAAGCGTAGAGAGCTGGGAGCCACCCTTGGTGTCGCTGGGCTTGTCCTGCTGATCTCAGCCACACTAATGTACTATGTTGAGTCTGGCGTGAATGCCAAGTTTAGCAGCATTTTAGAATCGATGTGGTGGGGCACTGCAACGCTTACCACTGTGGGATATGGCGACATTGTGCCCATAACGCCTTTGGGTCGCTGTCTGGGCAGTCTGGTTGCCTTTATTGGTGTTGGTCTTTTCGGCCTACCGGCGGGCATTATCGCTTCGGGTTTTGCAGATGCTCACCGAGCGAAATCGCTTGCATCTCGGCGGCATCGATGCAGGTCAGGCTTAATGCTTCAGCGTATCTGAGTCTGTGTGTAGTGTATTGTCAGCTTGTGGGCCCGAGGAGCTTCGTCACAACAGTTCGGATCATTTGGAAGCTCGGATGACCCGCATGATGAGCGTTCAAAACGAAGTTCTTGCAGAGCTTCAATCCCTTCGCACTCAGATGGACAGCGTGCTAGCCGATCAGCAACGACTGCTCACACTGCTCGGAGCACAGAAAGCCCAACAGATGGGTGGCTAGGGAAGACCTGAGCTTGTCTGGCGATGAGGTGCGGCGTGTTTTCATGGAGTCTCATGGCGACCTTGACTTCTCCCCGCGGACATGGACTCTCGAAGTCGACTCGTGGAAAAGCGCTTCGATGCGCAACGTGCCAGAGCCCGTCTTGCCGGGCGTTCATGTGCATAGTTGCAGCGCCGAGCCGCAAAAGAGAGGCTGTTGCCAGCTGCTTTGCAGGGGAGGAGGAAACGGTTGTAAGGGTTTTGAGCATCAATGTGGGCGTTGCAGAGGCTCGCGATGAGTACCTGAAGCACAAGAACAAGGAGCAGCAACTCCTGAAGCTCAAGGAGCGCAGACGGCAAGGCGGCTTTTGGGGCCAGATTCGGGGCCTGGGCCAAGGAGCTTCTCGAGAAGGCTGCCTTCCTGCGCAGCGAGGCAGAGGCTGCGTGGCTGCGTGGCTGCGGATACGGAATACAAGGGTTCCCATCGAAATTGATGGCTCTTGCAGGTGCAGTCTCAACTGGAGACGGGTTCAGCCCGTGTCCTAAGCAATCGCAGAGGGGGGAGGGGCATTTCGTGTTTAGGCCTAGGCCACCGGGACCGTTGAAGTGCTGAAGCGGCAGGTGGTTTGCATCGACACCGTGAAAGAGTCCCTGCGACGGGGCGTCTGGGTGCCACCCAGGTACACAGAAAGGTGTCAGAGAGCATGTGAAAGCACATGTGTGGTGACAGGGAGCTCCGTCCGAGTCTCTTCAAGATGCTGCAGCGCCGCCCTGGTGTCAAGGCATAGTGGCTTAGCACATCTTTCATGAGAATTCTGCAGTTAGCGTTCTGTGCAGGGGATGGAGCGGCTTCAGACCATGAAGAGGAGACCAGCCGAGGCCCTCCGCTCTCGGGCCTCGACCATCCTCGACCTGTCTCTGCGATGCTCCCTGCCAGGTCTGCTTCGACGGGAAGGGCGGAATCCTCAAAAACCTGGACTCAGCACTTGACCAAGTGGCGGAATCCCTTGGTCGAAACGGCTGGGTGGCGTGTGAGTTGGGAGCTCATCAAAGCCTGATGGCAAGAGCCTTGGAGGAGGCGAAATCTCTAAAGCCTCGCATGTCCCGTGGCACCACGGTGATCCAGAACGAGATCATCGATCCGTCCATCCCAAATGCAGACAGGGAGGACAGGGTTCTATTCCTGCAAGAACAGGGGCTCAGTGGTCCCAGTGCGGCCAAGGGTCCTGCGCCAACGCTGGCCTTGCTGGAAAGTGCCATCATCGACATTGTCATGCATCTAGATCCCCGCCTGCAGAGAAGTGGGCTTCAGCTGCGAATCACCGAGCGTTGTGATGGAATGCTCTCGAATTACGAGAAAGGTGGTGCTTACAGCGCGCACATTGACAATGCGGATGGGGATGGACGCGTTGACGGGCGAGTGCTGACTGCAGTGCTGTATCTCAACGTGGGATGGGACAGATACGCAGGTGGTGAACTTGCTATATTTCAGCCAGATCACGGAGACATTGGCGACGCAAACTGCCATGGCAAGTGGAACATGATCTACCCGGAGGCAGGCACCCTGGTCTTCCTCCGCGCGGATCATGTGCTGCACGAAGTCAGAGGAGCCCACGCAGAGCGGTATGCGCTGAGCGTGTGGTTTTGCGGCCAGCATGCCGACTATGGCGGATCATAGAGCTCTGCAGCCATTAGTTTGACATCTTCGAGCTTCGAAACACCACGAGCAGATTGAGGACTCGCAGCAACCATGATTGCGTCGCGAGCTTTCAGAGCACCCCGGACCTCTTTGACCATCGCTAGCCGTCCGGAGTTGGCAAAGATGTACCGTTCTGATCGCTTCAGTGCTTTCTGAACACACGTCGTGGTTGGGCACAAGTCCCCGATGTTATCTTACGCTCTCTGACAGGCTCCTGTGGCTTTCGCCCTGCCGATTGGAGACAGATGTGAAAAAGGCGAGGCAGGAATTCCTGCAAGTCTTTGGAAAGCAATAGTTGCATTCGCGGTCAGGGGACACTTGGAAGATGGGGCACAATTCTGTTTCGTCAATTAAACGATAGGCGGATCGTTTGGCTTGAAGAGACGCATCCTAGTGCCGTTACCGACAAGCAGCGCAAACATGTGTGCATGGCAGCATTGAGTTCTGAGTTGAGTATGGCTGAGTAGAGCACCGACTTTGGCCCAAATGACGGGTCAGGGACAAGCAAACAGAGGTCTTACGTGTGGAGTACGGATCAGTTTTACAGCCAAGATTAGCTGTGGCCGTGGGAGTGCAGCACCTTTTGCTTGCCAGCACGCGTCCTATATGTACGTTCATATGCTACAGTTCACGAAGGAGGCCTACCTTTTGGTTCGGTGCCGGCTTGCTCTTGGTTCGCTGCCCATCCACGTCAGCTGGTGATGCACTCAATCTTGTACCGATGCTCATGAGTGCTTGAATTTCCACAATCTATAGGCCCCGTGTGCCGCCACCTGGACAAAGCATTCCCAGTAACAGCGGTTAGAGGGGTAGTGACAGCGAAGGGAGCTAGTAACATCGGGTAGTAGATGGTCCTGTTGGCAAACGTGAGATCTCATCATTGTCGCACCCCCGGTGCGTTGTGTCCTCCGGAGAGCACAGGGTCCCATTGCCTACGATGTCTGACAATAGCTGACAATGTCTGGAAATCCCTGCTGGGAGGGCTAGAACTAGTTGTTAAATTTTGCGCCTGGGAAGGGGCTGCCACCCCGTCATCAGCCCTGTGTCTTATGAAAATGCTGGGTGTGCCACCCAGACTTGCTTGTTAGGGTTGAGGGTTTCGTGACTGTCGGGTTGAAGGTTTGATACCCGTCATGTCTTTCGAGGGCTTGGTTGTAATCGCCATCATATCCTATGAACCCCATATAAGTGTTTAAGTTTAAGATTTCGGGACCCCCTCACCTTGTCTTGCACATCATCCTTTGTCAGAATCCGGGGCCATGAATCCAGGACCCGTCTCGGGTCGCCCATCATATACCCGACATGGGGCCTAGGATTTGGGGAGGTTGGTGTTTCATGTTCATACTCCCCGAATCTACCGAAATATGTTCGTTAGCTCTAGCATTGCATGTTTTACATGTCTTTGCCAGTCGCAATGTATGATAACTCCCTGAACAATTTCCCTACAAAGCTGCATACTTTGCAGGATGCAGGGTTGTTGTGGGAGGGATTGGGGAAGACGAGGTCTAGCATTCGTGTTTGTGTCCTTGTTTTATGTTTGCATATTAGTCAACAACGTTTCCCTGGGGTTTCTGTTACGCGTCCTATCGCGTCCTGTCCTGGACTCGTTTCGTCCCGCCCCCGCCCTGTGCTGTTCCCGTCCCTGCACCGTCCCCTCCCGTCTCGTCCCGTCCGCGTCCAGCCCTGTGCCGTCCCGACATCGAATAGAAAAGCTCGGCCGCAGATCGGAAACCGAAACCTACCAGTTGTCATGGTAATCTTTCGTTTCCTGGGGCCCTGGGGGTAGTATCCAAGCTTTGGCAATGTGCGCAGCCCGTTGGTCCGCGGTGCCGACGCGCGGGCGGGAGTCGCACTAGTCGCGGCGCGCCGACGCAAAGTCGCGCGCTACCCTGAGTTGACTCGGCGAGGGCCTCAACGACTCGTCGTCCTCGCTGCAGAAGTCGGAGGCCGCTGGAGCGACGAGTGCCAGCAGTTCCTCCGCACCCTCCTCCGGCTCCGTGTCCAACGCGCCCCGCCACCCCTGTGTGCCTCTGCGGCGCAGGGATGGGCGCGCCAAAAGCCGTGCCCCCGTCAAGAGCTCGCCGGCCTCGGTAAAGCCACCCACCCACCAACGACACTGCGGCCGTGCCCTCACAGAGCAAGCACGCCCACACGTGGTGCCACAGCACACGTTTGTTGGAAGAGCAACAACTCGCCGAAACCCAGCCTTCCCAGGGTGGCGCCAGCCGCGTCTTGGACCTAGCGATAGCGAGCGCCCCGAGCCGGCTGCCGCTTCGCTAGCACCCGCCGTAGGTAGGTCAGTGTAGCTTTTGATGGCAGGACCCGTTGCGCAGACGCAGAAAGGTGCGGAAAAAAAAAAATGTTTCGGGATCACCTTTTTGACGACTTGAGGGACGGCATTTTGTAAATTTTTTATCACGGCGAAATGATGCAATGCCAAAGCCATGTTCATGTCCGAATACAACTGACGAACAGTGCCCAACCTGCTCTTCGCACCAACGCGGAACCAATCTGCCCAAAATGTGCAGCGGTAAGCTCGTCAACTGGTGAGCCTCCTGGTGAGCTCCCCACGTTGTAAACTGTAACTTGTCGACAAGCGGGTTGTCTGGGCATGACAAAATTTCAGGAAAAGGCTGCGGTTTCACTGTGCATCAACGCGTGCTGATGTCTGTCCGAAAACATATGGACCCAAACATCTGGAATCAGCTTTCTCGTCAACGATTTTGTGAATAAGGGCATTGAAATCGCCGACTACATACAAAGTCCCGAGACGGGACTGCTGCGCCAGCCATGTTGCAACATTCTGGAACAAGGCGTGTTTCACAAATGAAATCTTTGCCGTTGTGAGGCTCAACTCTTCCCCTGCGTCCCGTGCGTTGCTGCTCTCGCAAGCAGGGCGTTTTGCTGAAAGAGCCATCAACGTCCTGCCCACGCACAGCGACGTCACCATCTCCTGCGCCCTGTTCCGCGTGCTTTTGCTGCGGCGTTTGCGCATGCCCCTGCCGCTCGCGCCGCGCACGTGCGCCTGCCACAGGCAATTTGACCCCTAAGGAGGTCACCGTGCTGCTTGCGCCACCTCCGGAGTCCTGTGACCACGCGCGCTGCCCCTAGAGCATGCCGTTGCCGATGAGCGGCGCATCGAAGTCGTCGGAACGATAAAAATGCTCGGTCTCGCCACGACCATTTTCAATGACCATTTCTTCGCAGGGGCTGGAACAGAAAGAGACATCAAACACAAGATATTGGAAGTGGCAACAGACAGAGAGTGGTGGGCTCGCGTTTTAAGCCAGACCAGAAACATCTGGCGTCGCCAACGGGAGATGTTGTATAGTCCGCACCCAAGGCAGCTAAAAAAATCGAAGTTCCCCAACGGCTTGCCGCTGTGGCACGGGTCCCAGCTTGGCCCTGATGCCACCATAGCGTCCCCCCCACCGCGGCAAGGCGAAGCCTACCTCCGCGCTGACACGCAGCTTGGCTGCGCTGTCCGAGCCGCAGCTCCGCGCAAGCGCCACAGCACGTACCGTGATCGGCAGTGCCCGGAGATGCCATCTCGTCGTCATTGGCACCGAGGTTGGCGGCAGGTTTAGCGCCGAAGTTGTGAAATTCCTGCGCCTGTAACGCGTCGCACCGTGCCACCGCCTGCGACCCACCGCCATCACTGCCTGGGTCGCGCGTTGGTCTAGCCTCCTCGCTGTCGCCGCGCAGCGCGCCCTTGCCACCTCCGTGCTCGAACTGCCCCCAATCGATGACCTTGGGGGGCGGGCCGGAGCCGGAGCTGCACGAACTCCTCGCTGAGGCGCGCCGACCGCGAGGCCCCGCCGTTAGGGGTACTTGTGGCATGTTGTAGCACGCAGCTCGCACTGGGACGCTTCGGACATTGTTGCCGCAAGAAGGTGCATTACAAAAAGTGCATATATGCTGCGAAACGCCAATTTGCCACCACCTCGGAGTTTGATGCGAGCCATACGAGCTGAAGGTTGTTGGAAGCACACCAGGTTGCGGAGAACATGTGGCGACAATAAAAACCCGACTCCTGCGGTCTCCGTTCCTTCAGTGTTGATTCGATCACAGCGCGCGGCATGCACGGAGGCGTTTGTGTTGCTCTGGTTTGCGCCTCTGGCTTTTGCAGTCTCGCGGACCTTTGCCGCCAGCCTCCCTTCCCCTCCTTTGTCCTGCGCTGCCAACGTTCACGGAGACATACCGCTCCTCAGCGATGTCTTGGCTGACCCTTCCGAACAGGTCTCCTTTGCCAGCCGCATGCTGTCGTCTGTTGCTTGGACGTTGGGCATGCGCACTGGGACCGTGGAGTGGGCGGACGTAAAAGAGGTGTGTGAGAAAAGATATAAAAAATGATGGGACGGACCGGGGCCGGAGCTGGATGAGCTAAACACGGAGGCGCGCTGAGCGGCCGCCCGCGGCTGTTCCAGCCACATTGCACGTAGCTTGCAGGTTGCACGGGGGCCCGTCGTTTCTCGCAGTCGGATAAAGGTGCGGGGTAAAAAAAAATAATCATTAAGAAACCCGCGTCAACAATCTGCACGTCTGAATTTTGTCGGTGTGGCTCTTCTAAAGAATAATGTCGATAGCATTCAATAGCTCGTTGTTGCATGTGCCACTGTGAAGGCAGCCAAGCAAACAAAAACAACATGACAACAACCAAGCAAAAAAACAATATAAACAACTGGAACGACTGTTAAACTACGGCATTACAACCCCGATCACATCTCACACCCGGCAGCTGGGTGGCACACATTGCCACCAAATGCCACGCCATGCGCAATGTATCCAGCTGTGCTAACTGCTAGGTTTGTGCAAGGTGTGACAGGACAGGACACGTCGTTTCGTCCAAGCGTATGCTGGCTACATTGCGTTTTGGACACTCAGTGAATGCATGTGTGAGAATGTTCGCAATCAATGCGCAAAAGCACGGTGCATCAGAGTTTCCCTTGAAGCGGGGCGCGGCACGCACCAGCACAGAA